ATATATATATATATATATATATATATATATATATATATATATATATATATATATAAAACTTTTTTTATTAAAAATAACACATTTAAAATATAATATATATTCATTATTTTTACAAATCTGTTTTTTCTAAAATAATATATATTATGTTTACTAAAATATAATAAGTATTCAATAATATAATATTCTATAATATATATAATTGGTTTACTAAAAATAACACATTTAAAATATATATAATACATATTCATTATTTTTTAATAAAAATACATTTTCAAAATAATACATTTAAAAATAACACATTTTAAATATAATACATATTCATTATGTTTTTAAAAAAATATATTTTAATTTTTTCTATTTACAATGTTGTTTACTAAAAATATTTTTAAAAATTCTACTTTTTCTTTAAAAATTAAAAATACATTACATATTTTGTTTCTAATATATATTCTATTATATATGTTTTTAATATATATTATGTTTTTAATTCTAAAAATATATATTTTGTTTCTAGAAATACATATAAAAATTTAATTATATTTTGTTTTTAAAAATACATATTTTTCTAATATATATATATATATATATATATATATATATATATATATATATATATATATATATATATATATATATATATTATGTTTTTAATTCAAAATATATATATATTCTAAAAATATACATTATATTACAAAATATTTTTAATTTTAGCTTTCAACAACAACAACACAATACATATATACTTACATCTAACAACAACAAATCTAAAATTTTATAATCAATAACCTAAATAACATTTCATATATCACTATAAATCTGAAAAATAAACAAATTTAAATGCATAAATACCTAAATAGAGCTAACTCCCAAAGGTTCAATGGAACTTTTTAATCTTAGATCTGAAAAAAATCAATAATTAATAATAAGAAAAACATAGGTTAAACAGCCACAAAAACAACATACATATCATTCACCTTAAATTTTTTGTGAAACTTTCGTTCAAAAATGGAGGAGTAATGGACGCAGAAGGGGAAGAAGGAAGAAAGTAAAGACAGAAGGAAAATAAGAAGAAATGAGATGCGTGAAGAAAATTGTCACGTTATGGGCTTTGCATATTTAACCAGACTTGCGACGTGGTGGACACATTGGAACGTGTGATTTTAACTTGGGAAAGTTGCCACGTGAACCACACGTCGGAACTTTCTCAGCAATATATATTTAAACGTTGCATTACTAGATGGCAAAGCAACGATAAAAAATAAATTTTAATTACATTCAATTTCATCATCAATGTGTCTGAAAAGTAAAAGTAAAAGTTGAGTACCTTTACTAATTACAAACTTGCGACGTGAATCACATGTGGGTAGTTTGTGACATGCTCCCCACGTGGCAAATAAAAAGACTTTTTTGAATTTTTAGTTCTCATGTATTTGACACGTCACAACTTAATTTTTGAAAAATTTAAACTTTCCTCTCTTTTAAAATTCAAATATTTTGTTGCAAATTTTAAGTTTACATAATTTATTAATTAAATATGTTAGTAACGTGAGATTCATTTGACAACGTATTTTTTTTCTCACGTGTTTATCATGTCACTAAATCACTGGGCAAAATCAACATTTTTTATAGTGACTGGAACAAGTCAAAGATTCTAAAATGAGTTAGATATTCCAATTGGATGGCCTTAAGACACTTTGGGCGACCAACCATACTTTGGGCGCTCGCCTAATGTTACCACACTTAGTTTAAGATCTCTTTTCACAGACCCTTCCTCTCCTCTGTAAATATAATAAAATTATTTAAGTACAATCTTTAACACATATCAAGTGATTAAATATTTGTTATTGCAGATTAAGTTTGTTTTCACTGGTTAAAATTTTGTTGTCATAACATGAGTATTAGAATTTCCAGTTTAAGATTCCAAGCATATTAAACTAAATATAACAAAGGTCTTACAACAAAAGTCATTAAAAATCAAATAAAACTTCTTCAAAAAGACTAAAAAAGATGTTTAAAGCTTTCTAAATGTATGAGGGAATTCCCTATTTTTAATTATAAGAAAACTATGAAGGTTATTTTTACATATTTCTGAATCTTTGATCTATTTCCCTTTCAAGATCTTGGAAATAGAATCTTCTTTGAATTATGTTTGAGACGACTTAGTCAGAGTGAATTAAAAATTTGGGATTTGTGTAAAAAATTTACAAGAGTTAAACATTTAAAACTTAAAACAAAATTATATTTTTTTGTATTCTGAAAAATATTTGTTTCTTAATTTGATTTTAATCACAAAATTTAAAAATATTTTATTTTGTAAAATTTAAAAATAAAAAAAAATATTAAAAAAAAAGGAGCTTCTTTTCTTTTCTTCATTAATTTTTATTATTATTTTCATTTTAAAATCATAAATATAAGCATCTAAAAAATATGGGACTGTCAAAAGAGTAAAATCAAGATTGATACAAAAAGCAAAAGACTTTTCATTTATAATCCAAAAAGAGAATACAAAGTAACAAGTTAGCATCTCGAATTTGTAGTTTCCAAAATACATCCATATATTGTCTGATATAAGACTCTTAACACTAAACTCCTCTAACATATTTTTACAAAATTCAACAAATTTTTAAATTTCCGCTAGATTGTTCAATGGATACATTGCTGGGTCGACTTTTTTTCAAGTTTTCTGAGATATCTTTCATCACTCCATTTGCCTGGCCTTGCTAAATTTTAGAAGGAGTGTCTCCAGTGTATTCCCTTGTCTTTGAGATCATGGATGATACTTTAACTTTTCACATGGTTGACTAACCTTGTGTAACAAGTCTCCAAATGTATATTCTTCTCCTCTGTGTTTTTTTATCTTACGGTTGTTTGTTGTGGAAATATTGGATCTGTGCTATATTGGTTGAAATCTAAAAAGTGTTGTTGTTGAAATGTTGGATCTATGCTTGCTTTGGTTGAAATCTAAAAAGAGCTGTTGAAATGTTTAATCTGTTTTGATTGATATTTGGAAAAAAATATATATTGCTACTTGAGATTTCTATTGTTTTAGAACAAGATGCAGCCAGATGTTAATATTATTCCTACACATAACGACTTATGAACTTAAATTTAATTGCGATGACTATATATCTTTTTAAAAATTTTATTGACGTTTTCCCTTTAAAAATAAACTTTTCTAAAGACTTTATTATCGATCGAACGTTTACGCGCTCGGGTATTTTTTTTTTGTCATGACACATATCTTATATAATGTGAGACTTATATCCATCACACCTAAGATATGGCATCAACAGCATGACCTACGTACTAATAAAAACCTGATGGCATGTAATTCAATAGTCCCCAATACCATAATAGAATTTTATTTTGGGTTTAATTTATCTTTATAAAAATATTTTGTATGACGGAAATTTCTTACACTTTTAAAAAAATGATCAATACAAAGTTTTATAATGTTGTTGAGACTATGTTGTTGAGACATTTTTTAATTTTATATTAAATCTTAATTTTTTTAGAAAAAGTTTTATAATGTGTATTGAATTTTTTTAGTTATTTTTTAAAGAAAATTTATTTATTTAATACTTTTTATTGTTGTAAAAATTAGAAAAATAAAAAATATAAATTTATGATATAATTGTAAAATATAAGTTTATTTATTTAATAATTTTTATTGTTATAAAAATTAGAAAAATCATAAATATAAATTTATGATATAATTGTAAAAAGATAAGTTTATTTACTTAATTATATTTTTACTATTATTAAATAAAATTAAAAAATTGAATTTTATCTGTTCAAATTTAGCGTCAGCCACCGACACAAACATTAACTAGTTTAAATAGCGGCGACTAGGCCCACGCTACATCCATGCTAAAAGTCGTTTTTTTCTTCATGGCCTAGCCAAGGATCATTTTTATATTAATTTTATTGATTAATTAGCCATGGCCTAGCCAAGGATACTTATTTTTATATTATTTGTTTATTTAATTAATTATGTAGACACGATGTAGTCGACGCTACTTATTTATTTACTCAATTACTAATTTAGTGATTTATTTTATTTTTTACTTTAATTTTAGTGTTAGCTTAGATCAGAGCTAATTATTAATTAATAAAATAATTTTATTTATTTATTTGCCCTCTTAATTTTTTAGTTTGGTACTCAATTTATTTTATTTTTAGTATCGGCTTAGACCGACACTAATGACTTATTTATTTATTTATTTATTTATTTATTTATTTATTAAATTATAATATCATTATTGAAGGATGCTGGTTAGCTATTCAATTATTTATTTATTTACATATTCTTTTATTTTTTACTTATTATATTTATTTATTTATTAGTGCGTATATATTAAATAAAAATCAAAAAGTTAAATAAAAATGATCCTCAATTTCATCATCATTCCTCTGAAATCCCTTTCCTCTCAAACACAAAATTCTCTGAAATCGTTTTCTTCATCCCTTTCTTTTCAAAAAATTGAAAAACTCCTTCACTTCATCACCTCTCAAGAAAATCAGTAGAAAAAATCAATAGAAATAACAAGAGTTTTAATCACCAACATCATTACCCAAATGACTCAGTAGAAAGGCTCTACTGATATATATATATATATATATATATATATATATATATATATATATATATATATATATATATATATATATATATATATATATATATATATATATATATATAATATAAAAAAAAACTTATTTTAAAATAATTTTCACAACAATTTTATTTTTGCTTTATTGAATAATAATAATTTTTGTTTAAATTTTGTCAAAAAATATTTTTTATTTATTTTTTAAATTAATTTTCTTTAAAATAATTTTAGTACATATTATTCTTATTTAAGACATTTTTTAAAAACCATCTTGAGTAGATTTTATTTTATAATATTTGAAGATTGTCCTAAACGTAACTCAAATATACATTAGGCTCCACTAATGAAACATGTTACAAATTATATTCTTAACGAGTTGACACGGTGATGTTCCACACCGATATTATAAGCTCCACGACTGAGAACCTTTCCTCTCTTATTTCAAACTGTGTTACGGCGAAAAGCTTGAAGCATGCCAAAGCCTTGCACTCTCATCTCATCAAAACCGCCCTTTTCTTTGACGTTTTTCTCGCCAATGGACTCATCGATTTGTATTCCAAATGTGGCTGCTTAGAGAGTACCCACAAAGCCTTTGATGATCTTCCCAACAAGACAACACGTTCGTGGAACACACTGCTCTCTCTTTACTGCAAAAGAGGAGTTTTCAACGAAGCTCATAAACTGTTTGATAAAATGCCGCAGAAAAACCTCGTCAGCTATAACTCATTTATATCCGGTTTAACACGTCATGGGTCTTACGAAGAAGCGGTTAAACTCTTTAGGGTGATGCAAAAGGGTTGTGGAGGTTTCATGTTAGATGAGTTCACGCTTGGTAGCATAGTGGGTTGCTATTCTTGTTTGGGTAATGTTAAATGGTTGCGACAGGTTCATGGGATGGCAGTTATACTTGGATTTCACTCCAATGTGATTCTCAATAATGCTTTGATTGATGGTTATGGGAAATGTGGGGAACCCGATGCTTCGTTTCATTTGTTTAGTTCGATGTTTGAGAAAGATGTTGTGTCTTGGACATCGATGGTTGTTGCATACACTCGAGCATCCATAATAGACGATGCGTATAAGGTGTTTGATGAAATGCCAATTAAGAACACGGTTTCTTGGACTGCGTTGATCACGGGTTTTGCAAAAAATGGACGTTGTTATGAAGCTTTGGAAGCTTTTCGCGGAATGATTGAAGAAGGGGTAATGCCTAGTGCAGAAACTTTTGTAAGTATTTTAGATGCTTGTGCAAGCAAAGCTCTTATAGGAAAAGGTAAACAGGTTCATTGTCAAATTATTAGAGGTAGAAATAGTGGAAACTTGTTTAATGTGTATGTATGTAATGCTTTGATTGACATGTATGCAAAGTATAATTCCATAGGAGTTCCAAACACAGTATAGGTAGCTCAGCTGTGTTCTGCTGCTGAACAGTATAGGTAGCTCAGCTGTGTTCTGCTGCTGATTCCAAACACAGTATAATTCCATACTAATGTAGAGTTAAAAAGTAATGAAAATAGGGATAATGAATGAATAAAAACATTGGAGTTCTAAACACAGTATAGCTAGCTCAGCTGTGTTCTGCTGCTGAACAGTATAGGTAGCTCAGTTGTGTTCTGCTGCTGAACAGTATAGGTAGCTCAACTGTGTTCAGCTGCTGATTCCTTTGCTTTTGTTTGTTGTTGGAGAGATGTAGTAGCAGCAGTAGCAGCATTTTTTTTGGACTCGAATCAGTATGACATCTGGAGCACAACAAGCTTTAAGAAGGACAATGGAGATATATTCTAATTCTACTCATTTTGCGCTTGCTTGTAATACATCGTCTAAGATTATTGAGCCGATTCAGAGTAGGTGTGCAATTGTGAGATTTTTGCGACTATCTGATCAAGAGATACTTGGTCGTCTCATGGTTGTGGTTCAAGCTAAGAAGGTACCTCGACTTTCTATCTGTGTTGAATTACCGAGTATTCTTGTTTGTTTTGAGGAATATATGCATCTTAACATCTTAATTTTTTTGGAGCACGGTCAGCAGTTTATGTCTCGGATCAGGTTCGTCAACAACTTATAGGTGATCCCTTCAGCTTATAGATCTTGGAAGGACTTTTAAAGCTGCCTGAAAACAGGGAATGTGCTGATTGCCAGAACAAGTATATATTCATTTCACAACTCGTTAATTACTTTGATTATGATATCACTAAACTATAATTAAGTAAATATGTCAGGGCTCCAAGATGGGCAAGTGTGAACCTAGGGATTTTTATTTGCATGCAATGTTCAGGGATTCACAGAAGTCTTGAAAAATATATAAGAGGTGAGTATCGAACCCACGTCGCCTCTCACATGAGTTAAAACAATTTACCATGGGGACAATAAAATCAATTGTTAGAAAAAAAATTTATGTATAGTTTTTCAGTTAGTCTTTTCACACAACAACTTGGTTTTGCTATTTTGATTCCTACACGCTCAGATTATTGAAACCTATATTTCATACCAAAATCGTATCTCAGATTGAAATTGCTTCAACATATCATAGCCCAAAATCACTTCCCGATTGAAATCGCTTCCAGGTTCTGTAATTTCTCTCTTCATCGTATCCCTAATTTCTTCAACAAATCGTAGCTTCTGATTACTCATCGTATTTGGTTTGTCTCTCTATTTCTTCATCGATTTTCCTTAGCTTGTTATAGAATCTAAAATTCTTTATGGCTTTCACTTTTCACTTATTCTCCAAAATCGTAGTATTAGTGTTTTTGCTTTTGGATTTCTTAGCTATTGATTTGCTTGGCATCAGGTTTTTTTTATGACTTCTAGCTGTTTGATGAAATGCACAACTTAAACAAAACTTCATTTGTCTCCTGAGTCAGAAGTTCTGTTTACTTGGCAATGTTACTTCTCGTTTGTAACAGTTGTTTGCACTATGTTCATATGTGGGTGTTGTAAATGTATCTCATATTTGCTGCCATGACTTTGAATATCAAACCAAACAAGCCATGACGTTACTAAGTTACTTCATTATGAATCTCACCCGCCTTAATCATAGATTGAGTTGAGCGTTAAAGTGTTTTGCAAGTGGCCACCACCACCTTCCTCTGCTGATAATATTCATCATCTCTGTCTCCCGTCCTATTCTCATCCTTCCATTGATCCACCACTGTGAGTCTATCTCACATATTTCTGGAGTTCAAACTGAACTCATTTCATGTTTTCTCATTAATTATGGATTCAGAATTATAATTTAGCGGTTCTCATAATATAGTATGGTGTAGGACTGTATTTGAGACTAGACTATAGAGTAGCTTTCCCACTACTACTAGGCGTAATGTAATTAACTTAGAAAGCTAGTTATGACAGCTGTACATGTGACTGACAAATGGCAGTTAGTTATAGGGTAACCTGCAATAGCAGGTGAACACTCGGCTTCCATAAAAGCAAGTGAATTATCTGATTTGTAACCAACTTTCAATCAATGTAAAAGTAAAACAGAATTTCAGATATTCAATGAATCCCTAGATTTATTTCTAATAGACTGAGTGATCTTTTTCTCACAACTGTCTAAAAGACTCAGTTATGTTACTGATTTGTGATAGGACAATATTATTTAATGTTTTCATTTTTTAGTGACTCTAACGATGGCAGTGTTATGTAACGGTAATTTTGTGTAACTAGAAGATATTTTATTGCATATTTTTAATATTTGATTTATACTTATTCTATGCAGAAGCAATTGGCCTTTGGATACCTGTTGAAGTTACGAATGAAGAGCATAATGACAAACCTGATGGCACAGAGGATTCAGGTAAAAGTTTCGGTAACTTGATTTTTCCATGCTAAAGTTAATTTTTTATGTATTTAGGTAAAAGTTTATGAACATATGGCAGACTTTGAATATCAAACCAAACAAGCCATGACGTTACTAAGTTACTTCAATTCAGCCCAATGTGAGTTGCTTCCATCACGCGCTTCGCAGTGAATTCAATCAATGAATCACATGCTTTTCAGTGACCATTGTTCATTCATGCATGCAGACAAATTTCAAAGGTATCGCTACTGCCACTTGTTTGAACATGTAATGTTAAGTTATTAAACAAAAATTGACTTCATAGTTTACCTTCAATAAAATCATTTAATTATTATTCTTTATTAGCTTTTAGTTTTCTCTAATTTTATTGATTTTTACTAGTTTGTTCTTATAATCGTTTTATTATTTTTTGTTGGCTTATGATGATAATTTAATTATCTTAGCCGATTTCAGTGAGATTTTATCAATGATCTCAATGTTACACACACTGAAGCTAATGCCTTATTTTTTTAATTTATTTTACGGTTGGATATAATCTGTTAGTATTTGTTTGTTGCTGAAGTTGGCTATATTCAATTTCTTAATGACTTTGAAGATCTTTGTAAAAGAATGTTGGGTTCTATGCAAGTGATTAACAAAAGATATAGTTAGGGATCATTGTATATTTTGTTTTTGTCACCAAGGAAATTTCCTTGTACAAGCATTTATGGCAGGCCGGGCAAGGACGGTGCAAACACCTATCCTCTTTTCTATATGTAATTTGTCAAAAAAATAATCAAATATCGGTCATCCCGTTATACGATATCCCACTTTTGGGGCCGGCCGTTCCGAGCTGCTACTCGGGATTGATCAGGACAAGGAAGCTGCTGAGGAAATTGAGTTTCTACCTCGTAGAGACATTCTCAGGTTCAAATGTTCATTCTACATCTCTCTTGGTCATAATTCACTAGTAAAAGGGAGTTAAAATGAAGAGTCTTAGATCAAATTTTTATACAATAAAATATATGCCTCTATTAAAATCTAAATGAATTTCCCTTTTAACAGGTTCTTGGACAAAGCGGCTATAAAATCAAAACATGATAACCAATTAGGGAATTCAGAAACACCAACTTCCTTTTTATTTGAAACTAACAACTTCGGCACTAACCATGAAAATTAGGAGTCATATATCCTTATTCCCTATAATTAGGATAGGAACTAGTGTTTAGTTTGTTGAATCGGTTCATTGTCCAGTTGTTATCAATAATTTGAAACTCTTATTATTTATCTCCTCGCTTTTATCTAAAACTAACAACTTCAGCAGAATCCATGAAAATGATTTTTTATTTTAAATAAGTGATTTTTCTACGAAATAATCTATAACAAATTGGTTCTTTGACATATTGGATAAACATGATAAGTTTTCAAATTTCTTACCTACATCACATGTTATATGTTGTTATATCAAAGAAGGTTTCTCTCTAATCGCAATAGGATCCATTTTTCAGACATTTGATCCCGAGGCTGTTGCCGAAGGTCAGAAGCGGATGAAAAAGCTATTTAAAGAGTAAGTAATTTCATGTTTTCTTTAATGCATAACTGCTAATAGTCATGTTTGATCTCAAGTTTAGTTTAATTGTTGTCATCTCATGGTTTCTTCAATGCATAATTGCTAATAGTCATGTTTGATCTCCAAGTTTAGTGTAAATGCTGCATTTGATGATACGATGCATCAGTGGAGTAATCTTTGTGGTGACTTGTGATGGCCTTAACTTAAAATCATAACATTCAGTGTTCAGTGTCACTACTTTTATTTGAAACGGCGAATTGTTGTTAGTAATTAGTTTTTATGTTAGTATTTTATCTTTAACTGGGTTTGAACCCGGGTCCTCCAACCCCTTTAATACTTAAGCTCAAACGAGTTATTAGTTAAGCTACCCAACCCCTCTGTTCAGTGTCACCACTATTTTTGCCTCATTTTGATTATGTTGTTTTCATTAAATTGAAAATGGTGTTTCTGTAAACAATCAAATGAATTAGATAGTTTAATATTTCTTTTGGCTAGACTGTGATCGCTATAGTTGATTTAAGATTTGTTATGTAATATATAAGAAATATGAATTGGAAAGAAACCTTTAGTTTAAGTATTCAATCAAACTTCATTGATCTTTTGTTTCACTAAATGTCCTTTTATCTTTGTTGGTTTCATTAATTCAGACATGGTGTGAGTCCTTTTTCGCCATTGAAGGGACTTTTTATTCAAGGTCCTGTCTTCATTAGTTTTTTTCTCGCGGTAAGCTAACTTTTACCTCGATATTCCCCTTACCTTTAGGAGTCTGAGTAACTTTTCTTTATATTGTTTCTACCACTGACAATTTTATTTTATTTTCTTTGGTGGCAAATAAATAACATGTTTGAAAAAATGCCATCATTCATTTTCTCACTTGAACACAACAACATTTTCTATATGATAAGTATTTTACTATTCTTTAACTTAATTACAAATGAATTGCTCTATGTAATATATTTAACATGGCTAACTTTACGTTCCTTTTGGCTTGACTTTATTTACGGATGAGCTTTGGGTTATCAGGGCCAAATTCAGAGGGTTCAGAGCATTGAAATT